CAGTAGTAGCAGCAGTAGCAGTAGAACCATGGTGGTGGTTGATGGTTTGTGGTAAGTTCGCAGTTTGCCGTTAACAGCTAGCAGGTAGCACTAGTATTCGCAGTTTGCAGTTGGTGCTGGTGGTGGTAGTAGTAATAGCACCAGTAGTAGACTTGCTGTTACTTCCGCTATCACCACAACTTCACTAGCTGCTGCTGCTGCTGCTGCTGCTGCTGCTGCTGCTCATTCTCTACGTTGCAGGGTATCGCAAGTGCAAAAGTCTTGCGGTATGTTCTTTTCTTGAGGCGGTTTGCATGCTTCCCGAATGCTCAGAGAAGTGCCGAGGCCTTGAGAGGGATGGAGCTATCACGCTGAGCGAAATGGAGTTGCCTGTTCTGCAAGATGCCCACCGATGACTGACATGTACCGTCTTGTCATGCAAAGCATGATAGCCCGGTCCTGTTGACACTGAATAGTTGAAACGTGAAACATGAAATATCGGGATTTTTGAGATTGCCATTTGGCATCGGCAGTGCGAAATATCAACCGCGACATTGGAACAACATGGAAACAACATTGATTTCGGTCTTGCGGCGTCGTTCGGAAGCAGACGCACAATCAAGACCCATGTCGGAAATCGATCGTGTGATGATGCGAGATGACAAACGAAGGCTTGTCTGCGGTAACATGAGTGCTGAGAAACGTATGCGGCGTCTTCCTGAACATCTATGTTGCCGACAGGTTTTTTATTTCATATTATGATCTGCCTCGTGGCTGCTTTCTGGTTTGTCTGAATTTGTTTTGAATGTTGTTCACTTTTCTCTGTGTTTTTCCATTGGTTTCGATGTCGGATTTCTCCCCAGGTCCAGTAAGTCTGAAATCCAAAAATCTGCAAACAAGCACCGAAGCATTTGACAAAAATGAACCAAAATGGCACCCGAAACCAAATGGAAACCAACGGAAGCCAAATGTATAAGTTTGAACATAAATGCGAAAATAATGAGAAACAACTAGATTTTGAACCATTGGAACAATCGTAAAAACACTCTGGAAATAGACCCCAGCCCAATGGGATAAATCGGGGCACGGGACAACAACGCAACTTTTCAGACTCAGCCGACAAATTAAGGCAACAGCTTCGAAGAGTTGCACCCGGGCTTTTGGCTTCTTGAGTGTTGTTTTCTTTTGATTCTTGCATGGTTCTGAACTTCTTGGTTTTGTGTTGGTGTTGTTTACCATTTGTTGTTTAGAAATCGGTTGAGCCTGTTGATCTGGGTTTGATTATTTTCAGTTGTTTAGTCAGTTTTCTAGTTTCTGGTCTTCATATAATCATGAGACGGGGGGTCATCGTTAGTATAGCTGAATCGGTCAAGTCAAGGGAGTGAGCAGATGTGGGTCAGTTTTGAGCCAATGGTGATGTTCTACCCGTTGTCGCTGGCTTCAACGACGACTCTTCAGGCAGTTCTTCAACGATGAGGAGGTTTGCGCAATGTTCCAGTCTCTGGACCTGACAGCAAGGCGCATCTTCGACTATTGCACCGATCACACTTGCTGATTCCTCATGCGTCCAGGCATCATGTCACCCGCCTAGAAGTTGTGACATTCAAAAAGCAAATCGCAGGGACTCCTGGACTCTGTTCAAGCTGCTGGACGAGGAGGGCAATGGTGACATTAACCTGTCGGCCGGCCGGCTGCAAGGGCTGGCACACAGCTGGCCTTGCAAAGTAGATGGATCACAGGAAGAGGTGGCCCGTAAAGACAGCGATTTCGATTTATGGATGCACTTGGTCGGGAGTAGCTGGCATGCACGCATGCGTCAAGGTCTTAATATTCGCCATATGCAACAGAGGAGCCATCGAACACAAGCCCAGCATTCAATCGCACGATGCCAGCCAGTCCCTAAAATTTTGCGACCCGACAGGTCGTGAATGAGATGATAGACTCTGAATTTCTGCGACTTGAGGTGCAGAGTCGAAACGGTACCCACAAGGCAAAATCAGCGCAAGGCGCCTGCTGGAGCTCCATATAGCTCCTTTGTGGAGGCTTCCTGCGTTCGCCTGTTTGATCTTCTGTTCCGGACTTGGCTTTGGCAGCCCGTGTCTCTACAGCTGTCGGGGCTGCATCCAATGGGCCAACTTCCACCAAGCTCGTTTGCCGATCCCCAGCCCCATCTGAACTGCTTCAGCCAATGGAATTGGCAAAGGCTGAGTGCGCACCGTCACTGCGGCGAAGGCACCGGCAATCGCTACTCGACGCAATGCTGCCACTTGCCCACAGATCTGCCGACACATTCACGGGGCAACACGGAAAGCTGTTGGGCTAGCTTGTGGAGCCCTTAGCTTTCAGCTTCAGGCATTCCCGCCCTCCAACCACACTCGCACTATGCTTGGCCCTTGCTCGCCTCCCTCGCTACAGGCATGCTGCTTGCTTTCATGTCCCACCCTCCGGACTTGACGATGTCTTTGGTCAGTGCCATGGCTCCATCGTCTGAAAAGTCGCCAAGTCCCAGTGGAAGGTTCATGGGCAGCTAAAATGAGGCCATAACTAGCCCCTCGGCGGTGTATCAGCGGGCTCCCCAAAATTGTTCGCAGATAGCTCGGGGCGCGAATATGGATACGAGGAGGGGGGGGGGTTGGGCCTAGGTGGATGGGCAGGAGACGGGGGCCGCCGTCCCCGGGCCCAGATGAGCGCCTTGAAGTCGAATTTTCTTCGCGAAAGTCCCATCGCACCTGTAAAATGCGCAACAACCACGATACTTATAGCGCTTTCACGTGTTTGCGCGGCGACGAAGCGGCCGCCGTAACCCCCCAGCTATGCCGGTGATGCTGGCCGCTCAGGGGTCCAGATGCCCCGTCACCAAGATGGAAGGGGCGGAAGATGCGGCAAAACGAGCACACAAACTCTGATGATGCGGGCCTTCCACCACTCTAGCGGCCCACATAACCGTGTAGTCCGGTCCCATCCGTCCCTCACCTGACATGCGCATGTCATGTGTTGAAGGCCAATTTTCCTGGCCTCGAAGCTTTCCACCCGTGGTGCTCGGATGTCGCATGGCTTCGGGTGTGGAAACGAGCTTCGGGCACATGGCCCCGTAGGATGCAGCCTGCCAACGCCAGGTCCTTACCACAAGTCAAGCAGGGTGTCAACATAAGTAGCTCAAAAAGACGCGAGTGCGCAGCAGAGCAAGAAGCAGTGGATGCGGGTCCTGGACGATGAAGCCACCCACTCCAAAGAAGGTGGAAGCTGGGCACTTAGCAGAGCAAGACAAATGAACTGATGGAGTTGTCCGTGCCCAAAAAGCGGGAAAGGCGGAGGCGGGGACATAAGAACTAGGCAGCGTGCCGGCCAGACAAGTTCCACAGAACCCCGCCGCTTATGCACAGCTGTCAGCCACGCCAGTTGCGGGCACGGTGCCAGTGGTAAGTCAATTTGCGAACTCTCGCAAGTGCATCATATCATCAGAAGATGTTGTGCAACATAGGAATTCATTGATGGATGCCTACGGCTTCGCGGACCTGCAAAGGCCATGTCCTTTGACACGCACTGTGCATCCCACTTTTGAAGCAACCATTGTGCTTTTGGTGTCGATTCTGTTGTGCTGTAGGCGCTGGACATTGCTTGCGTCATGGACGAGAGTCGCCGCATCAAACGATCCCGAGCAGATGTCATGGGTTGAAAGTCCAGTGATGTGTGCGTTTGAGTGTGTGTCGTGTGGGCGCGTTTTTTCTCCAAAAGTCGTCCATCTCGCTTCGTTCACTATTGGCCAAATTGATGTTCGGTGCTCGCGCTGAAGGAAAGGTGATGATCACAGAAGAGCGCCTCTACAACATGGAGGCCTTGGTTGGCGAGTTGTCATCGACATTCGAATCGATGCTTCGCGAGAATCTTCTAGGATTTTTTTTGATGTTGAAGCCTGGTGGACGATAGCTGCTGCAGTGGCACCTTGCAGCCATGCGCAATACATGGAGCTCAGGAAATCGGTCCGTAAGCAGCCGGTGGCACCCCAAGAGGCCAGAAGCTTCGTTCTTGTTTCGATGCATCCAAAAAAGATGCCACAGCTGCAGCTTGTGACAGCAGGTCCAGTCTAGCTGTGAGCAAGATTGAGCAAGCTCAAGCTTGAACAGTGTTGTGACGAATCAGGGTGTGCTTCTGGAGATACCCTTCGGAATGCTGCCACAAAGCCTTTTGATGACCCACGTTCTGTCCCGAGGACCCGCCGTTGCTGTCGTCGTTGGGTTCGGGGGGCTGTAAGCTCAGATCTTCTAAGATGCAATTCTGTCCAATGTGCGGGCACCATCAGACTGTGGCTGACATGTCCAAGCTAAGGCTTTCTATGCGGCGCTTCCGCAGGGGCCGCATGGCTGGAACTGGCTGGCGGATTCTTCATGCGTTGCGACAAAAGCTGAATTCGGCTGCAGGGTCAATGGATGCAGCATGATGAGAGTCTCCATCTTCCAGACGTCCCGTTCGATGTCGGTCCTGACCTGGGCCGCTCGCGCCCGCCGCAGCGAATGCTGCGAGGCATTTTCGAGCTCGGATCACCGGATCAGGTAGGAGCCAAGAAGTGGTAGCTGCGCATTGCTGTGCAGCACCTGTAGGTCGCGACACAGGGCTGATGAATGCTGCTCGGTCATGAACGGAGGGCTGGCTCCTCGTCACGCAAGCTCCGCCGTTTGTTCCTCAGGCCAAGGGCAGCACTGAAGAGCCGCATTTTCCGGACCTACTGTACGACCTGGGTCCGTACAGCTTCCCGTTGAAGCAGCTATCGTTCTGATTGGCTGCAATAGGCAATGGGCCACAAACCTGCGGCCTGGTCGGTGCAAAATAAAGCGATTCAATGCAAATGGAATTGGGGGAAGGGGCAATCGTGTTGGTTTAGGGTTTGGGGTTCTGATGACCCACGGAAGGTAAACTATGCCAAAGGGCTGCAAATTGCGCACATGCGGAGAGTCAGAAGCTTGAGCCTGTCTTGGCCCATATGCCCATGCACCAAGGGGTCCGCGTTGCTTTCAGGTAGTGGCTTTCGAAGGCATGTAAGCTGTCGTGAGTTCCTGAGTTAATGCCCTTCGATCAGTCCAAGACTGACGATGCTCTTCCAGTTTCTGTAAGAACCGGAAGCGTTAGCGCAGTGGTTGAAGTCCTGGAGTCCCCGCAGGGCGGGAGGCGGTCCAGCGGGTGCGGATCTGAGAACCAGTATCCCTCATCTAGCAGCCCCAATCTGCATTTTGGCATAGCATTGACGGGACAAGTCAACCTCAAACCACGTGGTGGAGACGGAGGCGGTTGTGGCATGCCGAAGGCAGCGCCATGTTTGCTAATCGAGACAACGTTGGCCAGGAAAAAGGTCGCCAGTCCTGACTGCTCGGATGTGTGAGAGGAGCTGGACTTCCTGTCCTAGCCGCCAGACAAATAGATAATAGGATGAGTGACTTCGAGTGTGCACACATGAGCTCAAATCATGTTGTTTGTTTCAGATTTTATCTGCGAGGCAGCCATTGCGGGCGCAGTCTGCTGACAATCAGGACAATCTGTTTGACCGCTGCCTTGCTTGGCCAAGATGTTTTTTGTCGCATGAGGCTCACCGTTACAAAGATTACGGCGAACCGGTGGGTGTGCCTTGGTCCCTGCCTTCAGGACGTCGCCAACCTCGCAGACAACAACGAGCAGGTGAACAATGAAGAGGTTGGACGGAACGGCTGCCTGTGTGCATGCGACCGGTGTAAGAAGACACCTATGTACTGCCGCGCTGGCCAAACGTCTTGCAGATGGCAAGCTGTGAGCATTGCGCATGAAGGCAGTCTATGAGACTTCACTGCGTTCTATCTGCTCTTTCAAGGCGAAAGGCATCGACAGCACGGGACAAGACCTTGTTGCCCAGGCCGCCTGCATCGGATGAGTAGGATTCGTGTTGCCTGCTGAAGGTTTTGTGGTTTGATTTTCAAGAGCCTCTAAGAACTGTAGATGTTACCCTGCCTCCTACTGTACTTGTTTTGCCCTTAGCATGACCTTTACGCGACTCGTATGGGCTCAAGTCCCGGTGACCAAAAAGGCGTCACCAGGGTTGACTTAACGGTTAGTGCCTGTAGGTAGCCGTTGTTCCTGAAACTTCAGGTTATCAGCCGTAGCTAGCTCTCATGGCGTCGGTCCCCAACAGCGGAACAAGCAGCACTGGAAACCGCATATAGGGCAGAAGACGGGCAGTTTCAGGCTAGGCTACTTCACAGTGAGACAGATTGCCATGAGGCACGGCAGGCAACGAAACGGCTCACAGGACAGAACATGTCGCTCACAACCCTCGCACTGCATTTCGAGACTGCGCTCAAGCACAACGAGCTTCAGACAGCACAGCTCCCTACATCGTATGACACCAACAGGTCAAACCTGGGTGAAGAGGATATCAGAAAACAAAGGGCGAAATCAACAAAGCAAATTCGGAAGAAACACGGAGGGGGATTTCCGAAAACGATCGGCCAGGCTACAGAACCAAAATCATAAAACAACGAAGACGATGTCGGAAAGCAGCCCAGAATCAGAAAACAAAATCAGAAAACCCGACACCTAGACCTAGACTGCCGGCCAACTCGGCAGGACGAGGAGAACGAGAACGACGACGCCGACCTCGCTTCCTCCCTTCCGCTTTTCCGCTTCCGCTTCGTCGTCCGCCTTGTTGTCCGTTCCGTTTTCTGACTTTCCTCTGCCCTGTTTTCTGATTTTCTACCGCCCTTTTTTCTGATCCGGTCCGTCGTGTTTTCTGATATTGTCCGTCTGGCTTTCTGATTTTAGTGTGTCCGTTTTCCTGATTTCGGCTGTCCGTTTTCCGATTTTGTTTTCTGATTTGGTCCGGTGTTTTCCGATATCGTCCGATTCGTTTTCGAATTTCCTCCGTACCCGGTCAAACATTCTCGAATACTTGGCGCAGGAGTTCGGGGAAAAGCTTCAGTGGGAAGAAAACGAATGTTTCCAAAGGTTGAGGGCTGAGGAGTTGCAGCATGATGAGTTGGTAACGGATTTGATGGATCAAAACGCAGAATTGCAGGCCGAGGCCGACTCTCTAAGGATCGAGATCACAGAGACAAGGTCTGGCCCAACGCAAGTTGGAGCCCCACGTGCTGGTGGTATCGGTCCCGCCGCAAGGTGGTGCCACGCCGTCTGTTGCTGCAGTTCAAGGTGTTCAGGGCGCCGGGAATGCTTGGATGTGGACGCTTAGTCTGCCCAACCCATGCCAGATTCCTAAAGGAACTCGCGGGAATTTTGGCAGACCTCAGACATTCAACATCATTCAACATTAGCGACCCGCCAAACGAGGCGAAAGACCCAGCTCCCGAAGTAGAACAAAAGACTAGCGAGGCCCCCAAGCCTGGTGAAGTTAGCGACCTTCTCGCTAAGGCCGGACCCAGAGATTATTGGGTCGTTGGTGAGGACAAGGGACAAGGGCACCTGTGTTCGGATTCATCGGAAGTTCAGGCGCAACCTTTATGTCCATCAACCCGATCACTGCCCTGTACCCTTTTGGAGGTTGAAGGACAATGCCGAGTGGGAATCTCGAGAAGCCGGAAGCCATGCGGGTTGGCGCGACTACGTTTTACTGTTTTACTTCAAGCCTACGTGCGTGAAGGCTTTGTTTGCCGACAAGCCCGAAGTAGTCGACGTTCCACTTGAGGGCGAGGGATGGAGCTTCATCAAGGCCAAGAGGTTGCACATGCTGAACGTTCCCAAATCAGAAGATTGTCTCAAGCCTGATCCCAACGATGCTCTGGAAGCTGCCCTCCACCTTTAGTCGGCGGTCAATGGCATCAGACTTGGGGTTGAAGTCTCTTGATGATCGCCGCCCCACGGCATGCCCTTGCGGGCAGCTACTTACCGAAACGCCGACTCAGACTTGACTGAAGTCGGTGCGATCCAGCTGCGATCCTCTGTTGAAGATGTCGCTGCGGGACATGCTGACAATGGTCCTCGGTCGCCAAACACGGGGGACATTGCCTCTGAGCTGGCATTGATTGGACCTTGCGGCCGTTCGGGCAAATCAAATACGGCGCCTCGCCCTTTTGGCCAATGAAGTGAAAACCCTGTTCCATACACTTCTTGCCTGCAGAGCAAACTGCGGGTGTGTTCAGAAGTTGTACGAACTGCAGAGGGTTCCCTAGAGCCTCATGTGGACTTCATGTTTTGTGTCCGCTTCTATTGGGCCATTGGCGGTGATCAAGCTCACCTTGTTGGAGCGGATTTTCGTAGCCCATCGAGAACATGGCCGGCCTGGCCAACTTGATTCTTCCGATTCCAGGGATTGATGTCCGCCAACTGCGTGCACTGTTATAGGTTGGAACCCTGCTGCAAAGGTAGCACACTTTCCAAGGACATTCCGCACTCCTGCGCGGAAGTTCCCAAGGCTTCGTACGATATGGGGGTACACGGATGACGAATGGAAGATCCTAAAAGATTCAGTAAACATTGATAAGCTTGAGGGCATTTGTGGAGAACTACCGAAGGCGCAATTGCGAGCATTACTTTTTTGCTTTACCCGAAGGTGAGGAGGAAGCTCAAGCCGACAGCGATGTCGAGCCTCTCTCGGTTCCCAAATCCAACAGGGATGAAGAATCCTTGGGCTGAAGCTGCTTCCGTTGAGCACACGCTCACCCATCGGCCAAAGAACCCATTTGTCCCATTTGCCAACGGGCAAAGATGTACGCCCGGCAAGCCAGCAAATCTGGTGGCTCATCTACCATTCACAGCAAGGCGTTTGGGGAACCTGTCACCGTTGATCACATCATCACACGGGATGCCAAAGACAACGACTTCCAAAAAGAGACTGTGTCTCACGTGGTGATGGGCGTAAATTTAGGTACGTTTATCCTTCGCCCACAAAGTCAGGTGAGAAGTGCTACGAAGATATATTGCACTTCCTGGCAGGTGACGATGAGGTTAAACTGATCTACTCTGACAGCGCATTGGAGTTCCACTACGCGGCAAAACAGTTGCGCGCCTGCCACAATACCGTACCTCTACGGAAACGTAGACGAGAACAAAGCAGTTGTAGAACGAGAAGTTCGCACAATCCTTGAAGGCACTCGTTCTAACCTGGTGCAGTCTGGTCTACCTGCTAGGTATCGGCCTCTTGCAGTGCAACACCATGCTATGTCATGTGACTGGACAGCGGCCAAGTACCGTGGGAGCTTAGGTTTGACGAGAAGTTCAGTGAAGAGCGCATTCGCCTTTCGGAGCCAAAGTCCTTTGCTGGGCACCCCCGAAGCAGAAAACACCGAAGAGATCAAAGTTCGCTGGTAGTGGTATCGAAGGAATTTTTGTGGGGTATCGGTATCGTATTCAACCATGCTTCGTCTTTAAGATGGAGTGTCTCGCTGCACGGTTGCACGAAATCCAGCATGTCCTGGAAATCGATGCTTTTAAAAAGTCTTCCACGCTAAAGGACTCGAAACATTGGATGGTAAATTTGAGTTCCCACTTACTTCTGATCCTACCCCAACCAAACCACCCAGTCTTGATGATCAGCATCACGATGTACTTGAACCACAAGACCCGCGTGCTCCTCTGAAGGAGGGGCGTACTGATCCTCTTCTTCCTGAATACAGTTACGGCCCCGCCAATGGATGCAGCTCCGACGTGCCTTATTGCTTGACGATCTACCATACGCAGTTAGGCGGAACCTTGCTGCAGTATCAGCGCCTGCGCCTCCATATGGTTATGGTTGGAACGGTGCATGCCTCATCAAAAAGAGAAGGGCAAGAACCGCCCGTACCGTGTTGAACAATCAGAACGGAGAAGTATGTCTAAACGACGAAGGGCCAATGTCGTGGCTCGAGGCTGAGTATGAAGAGGCAGTAAAAACTGCCCCTGCTATGCCAGTCTTGAACGCAGGCCGTGAGGCACATTGAGAAAGGCTGCTATCGTGCCTTTACAATTAAAAGCTCCTTGAAGTCTCCCTTGAAATGTATGACGTTGTCACCACAGATCTGTCTGCCAAGGAGGCTGCAACACACCCTGCAGCGCAAGCAGCACCGGATAAAGAATGGCAGAAGTTGGTCGACAAAGGCTACTGGGTTGAGAAAAAAGCTAGGGAATGTGAATACACTGTCACTTCGGTAACATTTTCCAAGTCGGCGAGGGAGCCGAGCTCAAGGCAGGGGACCCCAACAGGATGTATAAGGGCCGGTCAGTATTTCAATTACAAAGTCGTTGGCGTTAATTCTGGTCACGCTCTTTTCGCGGAGATGTCTAGTAGTCCTGCGTCTGTGACGCGGATAAGATCTTGCATGTCTTCGGTTCCCAGCCTGGCTATGTCGTCTAGCAAGCCGATGCAAAGCAGGCATGTTTCAAGGTGTTGCCACTTGTGTGAGGTTGCCGAGAAATCGTTGGCCCAAATCCTGGAAGGGTACGAAAGACCCATGGTGCCCTTGTAGCTTGCTTTCTACGGGCGCCCCGACTCTGAGGGCACTTGGGAAAAGCACTGTGAGACTGAGCTCAACTGAGCTCAAGAAGGTAGGCTTAGAGGCGGTTCTCACCGACGTCTGGAAGAGCGTGTTTTACCGCCCGACGAAGAAGCTTCTGCTAGTGGTTTTTGTCGACGAGTTTAAGCTTGCAGGTCCCAAGGGCACCATCAAGGAGGGATGGGACTTTACCTTGACTCAAGCGTCATCGACATGGTGTTGCCGGAGGTAACCGGTAGGTATTTTGGGTGCATGCGGCCGTAAAGAAGAGTGTATACAATCTCATGCTGCCCAAGGATGCGCATCCATTTCGTCCTGTGTTTGAGCCCGAACCGAAGTCAGCCACACAAGCAAAGACTGAGGATTACTGGGCATTGAGCCGGAAAACCTCCCTGCAGTTCGACGCCACCACTATCCATGCAAGAGGCCGTATGTACCTAATGAAGACGATGCCCGAATTTTCACTGGTGTTGGCCCGCGCAGATGTACAGTGGTTGCAAAGGCTGACAAACATATAAGCGATAATTGCAATGAAGCCCGTGATCGCCGCCTTCAGGAATGGTGGGACGGCGAAACGTATTTCGACCTCGCAGGCCGGGATCAACGTGATTTCGAATTGGCTGTTGCAGCTACCCGCAAGGGTAAGCCTTTCCGGAACAAATCTGAGGCCAAAAGGAGGTTAAACAAAGTAAGTTTGTGACCTCATCACAAGACCAGAAGGAGAAGCCTGGTGTAATGTTCAAGCCTGTTACTCGCATGAAAGACTTTCTGGAGTGATTTTTGTGAGCATCGGACAGCAAAGGCCATCATCGGTGAAGAACAGAAGGCTGGGAGATTGCAACCAATCGCGATCAGAGTGGCCCGCATGGCTAGCGGCTAGATGTGACCTATTGAGAGCCACACGATCACTCGCATGGGTCACTAAGTGGGGTCCTGACTGTGATCTTGGGCTACATCGTCTCGTATGTTACATCAACTCTTTATTGGATGTGACTATGAGCGGATGTATCGGAGACAGCATCATGGATTGCTGTTTGTAGTTATTCAGTGACTCCGACTTTGCAAGTAACCAAGCAACAACTACATTGCTGCTGTCTGGTCAAGCTGGTGTGCTACGACATACTGATCGCACTCCATGCATTCAAAGAGTTATCTGTGGTAGGCTAAAGCAGCAATATGATGATGGACACTTTCGTTTGCTGAATGTCGGCACAGCTCAACAAAGCAGCGGATGTGTTCACGAAGCCTTTCACCGAAAGGAACAAGTGGGTTGAAGCTGATTGGACACATATCGAGCGTGCGTGCCGGGTGCAAACCCGTGTCTAGTCAGGAGGAAAGCAACAAGATTACAGTCGCAGCATTGTTAGATGGAGTGAAGATCGTCGAAGAGTTCGCTAAAAGCAAGCACTGAAGTCTGAAAGTTTCGATTTCCCGACAATCGAGAATCTGGCAATGTTGGTTCGTGACCATCTTAAGTCTTCATCCTCTGAATCTAGGCCGCTTATGGCGCGTGAAAAACCATGCAGTTATCTGGTGTTCGGTGCTTGGGTACGCGGTGGGCTATCCGGTGTCACAAGTGGACGCTGGAGCACACCTCGTTTTGCAGATACGTGATCACCTGAATAAGTTCATTGGTCATAAGTCCCCAAAAGGGGAAACATGGATGTCGTTTGTTCGCAACTTCAATGGCAAAGCTCGACTCCACACAGATAAGTACAATCTGAAGGACTCCTACAACACGATTCGGTGATTACACAGCGGCGGCATTGTGGATTGAAGGCACCAGCAAGTTGGGTACACCAGCGGCGTACATTGACAAGAATGGTGAACATCACCATGGCTATGACTGCTCTGCGTATCGCCAACCTGTTATGCTGCATCCCCAGACACAGCTTGCTGTCCAACCCTACCAAGGCGAACGTCACTGACTTATCGCCTATTCATCAGGGGGTTTTGACAAGCTCGAAAAAGCGAGGTTGAAGTTCCAACTGCCCGCATCTCAGTTGACTCATCCTCGGCATGCAATGGTCTGTGTTGGTGTGAATGTTTGTTCCCCTCTCGATGAGGGGGGTTGGAGTCTTTCGCACGTTTTCGCTCGGAAAGCCGGTCGTTTGAGCGCACATCACTCGGGTGCACACACACACACTCACATCACCCACAGCAGGTGCCAAGCCATAGCTCAGTACGAATGGCATGTTTCCCTCTTCAATGCCCTGAACGAGGCCGTATAACCCCCTCGCAGGTGACCCCAGCCCTGAAATCGGCTTCATCAAAGTCATTGGACGTGTGGAGGCCCAGCTTTTTCCAGTTGCATTCTGCCAAGCCTTCATCTGCTGTTGGTGCTGGGGAGAGCGACACAACGGATGCTCGACTATCCATTCGGCACCTAACCCTGTGCGCAGTGCCACGTGGTGGTCGCAAAAGGTATACTGTTCTGCTTGAGGTGTAAGGCCCCGCAGAAAGAAGACTCCACCAAGGCCACGAAGCGCTTCGTCGACAACCAAAATCAAAAGTTGCGCAAGCGCCTTTTTGGCCACTGCAGCCGGCTTCAAGAAGCCGGTTGAAGCCCTCATCACTGCCGATTTCCGTAAACTTGACCAAGGCACAAAAAAGCGTGGGCAGATAAGCGCCGAGGCTACTGTGATTCGTGACGTTACGGAGCGTGTGACAAGGGACAAGGGTTACGAAGCTGCCCGACGCATCCGTGTCGGCTCACTGGGTCCATGATGATCAGTTCCAAAGATGCATGCTGCAGGAGGGCAAGTCACAGGAGGATATGCAGAAGTACGATTATCTCGCATGTGCCCGTCTCCCCGACCCAGTGCGTACTGAAGACAGCGACACCGCGAGCAGGATCGTATATCCGCCTTAGCTTGTGCTGCTCGGCGAGGGGGGTGTGCATTTTACCCTGCCTCCTACTGTACTTGTGTTGCCCTTAGCATGACCTTTACGACTGTGACCAAACAGGGCGTCACCAGGATTGACATCGCGGTTAGTGCCTCTAGGTAGCAAACTTCAAGAGCCAGGCACTGATGGAGCAGGTGGCTGCAGCAGAGGCCAGAGACATCAAGAGATGGTTCTGCCATGCAGGTCATGCCTTCTTGTGCAGTCGCCTGGCCTGAATCTGTATCTTTTCGCCAGGCTGCAGCTGAAGGCTGATGCGCAAGGAAAGAAGCATAAAACAGCTGGCATGCATCACTTGCCGCTTCTGTGACATGACCTTGCCTCTTCACAGCTTCCAACACTGACGTCCTAGGCAGAAGGTCGGCCCCAGGGGTGGTGGGCGACGGCCGAGGGCGGTTTTGTGGTGGGCCTTGCCAAAACCTTGCAAGCACAGTCTGGCCAACGCTTGTACAACCAAACCGTATCCGGAAGGGTGTGGCTACCTTCCGTGAAAGATTTTGGGTTCGTGTTAATCATTGTTGGGCCTTGCAAAAAGTCTTGCAAAACCTTCCAATTTTCAAACTCTCAAACTTTCCAACGCCCTGAGTTTTTCAAAGTTTCAATCTCCAGCCGCTGAAACTTTCAAACTCGTGCCCGGGAGATGCTCCGTGAGCCCTGCGTCCTCCTCCTGTCCAGACTCACGCTCAGCTTCATATTCGAAGCTTTCAAACGATCGAACTTCAATCTTTTCAATCTCCGAACTTTTCATTTCAATCTCTGCAAGGTCGTCCTACGCTTTTGATAGTCCTGTGCTACTGAGCCCGGGCAAACTGGCGTGTGGTGTCGTGTCGGACCTCGCCTGGAGATCCTTCAAGCCGCATGCAATGGAGACCTTGCCTCTTCGCATTTGGACAGTGTTTTCGCAGTTCTTCGCCCCTCAGCCCGCCAAGTACTCTAGGACCCCTTTCAGACTGCCGCCTTTTGCCCTCGTGGCTTTTAGCTGTTCTCATGTGCAAGCTGCAGATCGATGAGGATCGAAGCGGAAAAGAGGTCGCACATCTTAAAGCCGACAAGACGCAGGCAAGACGCAGCGCATCGCAGTGCTTCGGCCGCTTGCCATGCCCGGCCATGCCCGGCCCAAGGCGGCCTGGCATGTGCCATGGCTGCCATGGGCCTCGGGAGCCTCGGCTTTTTGTGGCTCGCGCTCGCGGAGCTCGCGCCGACTCTGCAAGGCGCAGATCCGTTGCACAGATGCACTTGCTCCATCGATCTCTTTTGAGCTACGAAAGACCTGTTGCACTTTCAGTTTTGCAGAGATCTGGCGCATCTGCAATCGTAAGTTGTCAGAGCAAAAGCCCGATCAGCTTCCGATATGCGAATTCATGGTACCTTGAGCTGCTTGTCGAGTCAAGTCCGACAGGCTCTTATCTGCTGACTTGGATTCCATTCAACACCTCAGCTCCGCTGGACGTCGCACGTGAAAGTGCAAGCGGAGCCACTGAGTTTCGAGGACAGGGAATGTGGGAGAAGGGTGCGAATGGCAAAGAACGGCAGCAACAAGATGCGAAGCACCTCGGGTGTAGGTTCAATGCAGAGACAACTTCAGAATGCTCCCTGCCAACGCACAGAGTGCCATGCCTCTTCTCGGAGGACGCTTGTACTTCCACCGGCTGTGCCCCGAGATGGGGTTTTACTAGCACGCCAGCGACCTTGCGAATGTAGCCAGTCGGACACGTCTGATGGCGTGATTACGTGGTCTTGCTGGTGCTGCCAAAGGCCCGTGCGAACGCTCCTGGCAGCTGGGAATGTTTTGGCCTTCAGGAGGTCTGCTGGTGAAAACCTTGTGCCCACAGTGCTCAGCGAATGATGTCGCGCCACATCCTTTGAGGCTTGTGCGTGAACGAAGCCGCCAGCTTGCGCCCCTTGTTGCGCAACCGGAGTATGCAGGCACCGTCTGGCAGACCTCTGAGAGGGCTTTGAATGGAATTCTTGATTCTCGAGGGGTTGCGAGGGGTTTGGACTGCTCCTCGACCCCGAAGTCCGAAACTCCACCGGACCTTGCACGCCTTTCTCTAAAAACTCGAGATTCGAAGCTCTGGCGGGTTGTCGGCTTAAAAAAGCGAACCAAAACAGGGCCCTGACATGTCCCGGATCAGGCCCCGGGCAGTTCTCAGGGCGATGCTGTTGCTTTGCAGGCGGCCCATGTGTGCCCGTTTGGAAGCGACGGGCCGGATCTGTGGCTGCCTTTGCCGCCTGATTGCAGCAATCCGCGGGCAGCTGAGCTCCTGTGACTCTCATGCCGACTCTAGATCCACGTGGCAAAGAGCGGTGGCACGGCCTTTCGCGATGCACTCTTGCGGGGCCCAGGCACCGCAGGCTTGTGAGCTGCGCCCGACTTGTCCCCAGCCTCGCCGTCAGGTGGTGCGGGCTTGCGAGTTCAACCAAATTTTCCTTCGGCGCCTTGGTCAAATCAGCTTTTATTGCCAAAGCTTTTGGTGCGCCTCGTCACTCTCTTCGCTTGCGCCGTCATGCTGCAGTAAAGTCCGTTGAATTTGTCCAGTGTGGCCGCGGTTCTGTTCCGTTTCTATGATCCCAGCCTTAATTACTGTTTGCTTCGGTTTCATGGTTTGCTACTCAGTACGCAATTGCTGGTTCCGCAGTTCCCGCGCTCGCTGCTTTTCATGCAACACCCTCGGTTCATGGGCACATAGTCTTTCCGGACAGCCAGTTCAATTCTTCTCCAGCCCCTTCACCCCCCAGCGCCAGCCAGGAACTACGAATTTGGCACACTCCAGGGCGGTCACCTGCCAAATCGCGTTCTCCCGCACGTTCCGGTTCGTCGCGAATCTGTCTCTCGGGTCATCTCCCTGTGATGCCGTCGTAATGTGGTTCCCTCGTTTAGTTGGTGCCCGAGAAAACGTGGTCGTCTGCACACATACGTTTGTACCTTCCCTCTGAGATTCTTGCTGCTCCACTTCTCGGGAACTGGATAGCTTCCCGGCCTCGTGCGGTAAGGTAGGAAATCTTCTGCTCCTCTCAGTACTGTGCACATAATGGGGTAGAACAGCAGCGGTGTCCACATAAGGATGTCGCCGTCCTGAATGCCGCGTGGCTGCACGCCTTAGTTAGAACTGGCTCTGCAGTGTCGGCCTTTGAAGATTTGCAGTTGAGGCGACGTCCTTTGCAGTGGGCCGGTTGCGCTGGGCCTACTCGAAGAAGACGCTTCGAAGGAACCATCAGGAGTTAGTCCAGGCTCACGGCCTCAAGTTCAGTTGCTCGTGCTTTCCGATTTTGCTCGGAAAGCTTCGGGAGCTTCCTAACGACGGAAGTGGTTGCTTGCCGCTACCGTTGTGGTGTGTTATGTCTGTGCGATCCATGTTGCAGTTGCAGCGTCGGTGTATGGTCCTGAAACGGAAAGTTGCAGATGACTTGATCATAACATGTGGTACATGACATGTTTCTGAACCTGCAGCCAGATTCATTTGCCATGAGGAATGCTCTCGAGAGGGGATCCATTGGAATGGTTCCCAAAGGGGAGCTCGCGTGGGAACTTCAGGCAAGTTTGGACGAAGTGCTGCATCAGTTTTCTCCTGCCATCCATAATTTATCAATCCTTCTGAACCTGGCTTTCCAGAGCTGCAACAAGTCTCCTGCAGCAAGTCTCATCAACGCTGAAATTGGAGGGTGAGGCGCCCTTGTTATGGGCGGCAACACACGATTCTGTGCAGCGCGCGTCTTACATCACTCCTCCAGTGAGAAGGTCTCCTTGCTAACCTGTTCTCGAGCTTGGCAAGCGAGGAGTGGTCTGCGTGGTTTGTGTTTTCCCAGCCTCGTCCGGCTTCTCGAGCTCCTTGTGGAGTCGGTCCCCGAAAGAGTGTTTAAATCGAAATGCCAATCCGCGGGTGGAGGTGCCATGAGGTATCCCCGGTATCCCTATGCCAGTTTCCACCCGGGCCAGGCCCGTGAAAGCTAGTTTTCAGCAAGTCAAGCGACGCTAGAAGGTCCAGAGTGGGAGCCGATAAGATGCACGGAAGCTTGCAGACGGGAAGTTGTTGCACTCTATCTTTGAAGACGGTTCTCGGTACAAAAAGTTAAAACTGCTTTGTGTTAGGCAGG